CACACACACACACACACACACACACACACACACACACACACACACACACACTCGCACACGCTCGTATAAAAGGAGCATATCTTATATCCATCTAGAACAGAACCAAACTTGGTTACATTTTTTTTATAGTACTGGGTTTTACGGCACTCGCAACTGCATAAAGTCATATGAGCGCCAAGGGGTGGGTGTCAACAGAGAAGTCTTTACAGGGAATCAGACTTAGACTGCTCACCTCTCTAGCTTCAACAGCACAAGGTCTGCTTCGACTATCAAGGCACTCCAAAATAGCAGGTCACAAGAGAGTGACAAACGACAAACATACAAAAGAAGTAGAGGAAAATGACAATAGTAAGGATCAGGAAAGAAAAAGCAGCAGTTCTCTGTTGTAGATCAGGTACAGGTCTGAGCGTGACATGAATCAGCCCATTTACAATTCTACTAGGCTTGAACGAGAAATGTCCCCCATTTGGGAATGGCCTAAAGACACTACAGTCAGTGGCACTGCCCCGGGGGGTAAAACTTGGTTAAGAGCAATGATAAATCCCAACACAACCTAGGCACATGGATGTCCCGATTTGGGATTCGAACCCGGTGGAAACCACAATTAAGAAAAGTGTCTGCATGAGTCGAGGCAGACGCAAACAACGCCCATTTCGTCGAAATGTTAGAGATAAAAGGAACAAAGAAATTAAAACGTTGTAAATAACAAGTAAACAAGCAAACAATAGAGAAACAATAAGACGAGCGAACAAACACACAATAAATAATTGAATAAATAGTTTCGGTTTAGTTTAATAAGAGTTTTACGCAACATGCAGGTCATATAAGTTCGGAAGATTAAGATGTTACTTAAGAGTAATATACAAAAGAAAAGATTTAGGATAGATTAGGTAAATAGACATTTAATAGGAAAGAAGGAGCAAACCCCTCGGAAATTAATTATTCCACCTCATTAGGGTCGCTTTAGTTTTAGTAAAAGTTTTAAGGGCCGCCGTAACACAATAAGGTCAGAGAAGTGCCAAAGATTACCGGTGTTACAAGAGACTAAAAATCACAAAAAGAAAGAGAGATACGAACGATAGCTGATTGATAGGAAAGAAGGAACAAACCACACCAAAACACCCTCCAACCTTTAGGCAGCTGGAACGTTTCAAAGTCTGTTGGAAAACTGGCTGAACATGTCATTTGCCTGCAAACTGAGCTTTACTTTTCTTTTACTTTTATCCGCCGCTTATACCCTTTTGGGTGTCGCGGGAAGAAAGAGACATCTCTCTGCCGCCAGCCGGAGAGCTTGGGTAAGGGGGATGCCGTGGATGGTTAATGTTTCCCTGACTCCATCTATCCAGGTCCTTCTCGGTCGCCCTCTAGCCTTGTTGCCTTCGAATTGTTTTTTATGTAGGCCCTTTGTGCTGGGGGGGTGTGTTGGTAATCGCATGAGATGTCCGAACCATTTGATTCTTTGGTGTTGAGTGTGAGGCATGACATCATTTGTGCCCACCATTTCTCTAAGCAAGGATCTAAATTGTCACCAAGTTGTTGGAACAGGCATTTCTCTCTCTCGGAATATTCCAATTATGATGTGCTCTCTCGCTTGATTATAATTTATGATGAGTTAGTACAATTTCTTGTCACCTATTTAGAATCTAGGCCCGATTTTGCTCTCAGCTTTTTTGGGTTTTTTGTAGTAGTTGTTGTTGTTTTTTTTATACTATTTTTTTCTTTGTATGGTTTGGGGGGGGGGGTGGGGGTGGTAGATAAGGTGCGTTGATATTTGGGGAATTATTTTGCACTTTATATTGCTTGGCTTCCCATGCCATTTGCAGATTTCGATGGTCATGTCCTTTAAAAATATTACCATCAGTAAAAAAGACCTGAAGGTTTGCTTGCAGTGTCTAACAGGTTTCTCGAACGCAAATATCGTGTTGTGTGCCTTAAGCCAGCCTGTTAAACGGACACTTAGAGAACAGTGATATTAGTTTTTTATCCTATAAGTGCAATACAGATGCCAGAATCAAATAGAATGGAGTGGGAGGGGTGGGGGGGGGGGCAGTAGTTCTTTTCATGTTTTACGGTTAGATTGAAGAATAAGATCAATAGAGCATTGGTTTACTACTTTTTCCCATACATACAAGCTTCCCAAAAGCTTAACACCGCTCCGGACAAATCTGAGATTTTAAAAAAGAACTTGTCGATATCCCACGTATGTCTCTCTGAGCTCTTGGTTTGCAAAACGGAGAACTGATACTTTGTCAAGCGCATATCTATGTTAGTACTAGCCTGACAGTACGTGAAAAAATAATGGTTACTTCAGAAGGTAAAGTACTCCGCAGAACGAAACAAACAAACAACAACTCTAACTGATCGATTGGCTAGAGCTCCTATCACGGTGATATTTCTTGTCCAGACTGTATCGAATAAGGTTGTCAGTTCTAGAGTTTGTCTTCTGAAGAAATCTGCATTGAGCTGAACAGCAACATTTTTTGTATTTCCCAGTATGTTCGATGGAAAGAGTTTTATCATAGATTCAAGCACAGTCTGTCAAAATATTGTCTGGGGAGGGTAAACAATTCTGGCAGAAAGCTTATCCTTTGTGTCATGCACAAGGCTGACTGAGATAGATACAAATTATGTTTTCACACATGTTTATTTTTTATCAAGACCGACAATTTGGGTTATATGAAAAACTTAACTTGTGTTTTCAGGAAAAAAGGTTCTTGTGTGCTTTTGTTCGTATACATATTTTGACTTGCACGCTTGAGATACACTCGTAGATGGGTTTTTTTAAGCTATTACTCGGCCAATATGCTGAGATAGTACATTTGACGTCAAGGCAACAAGGACAATTTTATTTATGTTGTACATCTCTCTTTTTTTTAACGTGAGACATAAGCTTGCTTAGCACTGTTATAGACGTCAAATTTAACATATTAAAATCAGTATCAACATGAAGTCCTAAATGTATTGATTGAGTACTCTGCATTGTCGGCATGTTATTTAACAGGGATACCGGTTTTGTTTTTCTCATCACAATACCTGGATACCAGGAGGGGTCATCTCCGACTCAGAAGTTGACTGGTAATGACCCTCCATACTTCACGGTCGCGAGGTGCCGTTGTACATTCTGACACACCCAGGCCAGTCCATGTTCTTATGTTGTCCATCCATGTTATCCTTTGTCTTCCTCTGGTTCTCCGGCCGCTCATCTTTCCTTCAAGCACCTCTTTCACAATGGTCTCTTGTCGTTTTAAGTGGCCATAGTATTGTATTTTTCACGTTTTATTTTATTCAGCATCGTATCACAATATATGTTGTTTTACGCCCCCTTTGGTACAATTTAGATCATTAAGAGGGGAGGGGGGGGCTAACCCCCCAAAGTCAAAATTCGGCTCAAAATTATGGAATTTGAGTTGTAGGCATTTTTAGCTTCCTCAACCTCTCCTACAACTATTTCATCACATAAGAACCCCCCCAAAATCAGTATTTTTTTCCATACCGGGCATGTTTGTCACCGCCATTTCCTCATAAAGTCAGTATTTTATTTTTCTTTATCGACTGTTTTCTCAAAACGCGACTTTCCTCTATACTTTTTTGAATAACTCCACCATTTTTCATCCAATCTTCATGAAATCTTCACAGAATGAAGAGAAGATATAATACTAAAAATTTGTCTGTTGAATTTTGATATATGGAGTCGATTTTTGTTGGTGGTATCTGGAGCGTGGATTTTTACGGATTTTTTGAAAACTTGAATG